AATGCTTACCTAAGGAGTTTGACCTTTGGACAGTGGAAAACCAGCAAACATTTGAAATTATGGCAAAGACCTCTCTCTTATTCATTGTTGTCACAACAATGTGTGGAATGAATAAATGGCTGAGTTAATGTGAATGAAAGAGAATAACATGATTAGATTTGCACCTTAAAAGGATTAGTGTGTCAGAAGAAGGAGGTCAGGAATCAGAGTAGGAACTGGAATGTGACTGTAATCACCTCCATGAACAACTGTTGCCCTTGCCATGAGACCAGAAGTACTGAATGGTGCTCAGCTACCACTGTTGAACATTTGGATCAAAGACTGTAGAAGAATCCTGATCAAAAGGGGGAAAGATAAGAAACAGAATTTCAAATTCTCATGGGCTCCAGATTTTCTGGAGCTATTGAAGCTGGATGACCCCTACCACCCCCCCCGCCACCGCCAAAAAAAAGAAAACCCACTATTGCCCTGAGGGAATATTTAAACCTTAAACCAAAACTATTCCTTGAAATCATCTTTAAATCAAACAATAGTTTAACTTATTAGTAAAGAATGTTTGCCTTGAGTACTGTGATCTTTTAAAGAATTATCTGTATGTGATCAAATTGACAACAGCAACTCAAAAGGTTAGATGACAAGCTTAGGGAGCAGTGAATTTATGTTAATGATGGTGAAATAATTTGGAAAAGGATATCGAGAAAGGTGGCACAATTTGAAGAATGTAATCAATATCACTGAATTGTACATGTAGAAATTGTTGCATTAGTGTGTGTTTTGCTGTGTATATTTTCACCTAAAAAAGAAGAAAGATTACTCTGTCAGCTCTGTAGAAGGTGGAATAGAGAGGGAGAGTGGGAGTACAGGAAGATCATCACCAATACCTTAGTCGAGGCTTCCACTGTAATCTTCCATCCACATTCCCTCTCCTTCTCCAAACAACAAAGTGATCTTTTTAAAACATACATCAGACCATATAATTTCCCTGTCTAAGGCTGTTCAGGATGAAATCCAAGCCCTTACCAAGACCCAGCATGGCTTGTTCTGACTCACCACTTGTGCCTGTAGTACACTCTGCACCCGTCTCGTTTTGCTTCAGCCAGCACTGACAGTCTTTCTCCTCCTTGAATATGCTAAGTGGTGTCCACCTAGGTCCCTGGGTAGTTCAAACAATTTACATTCAACTGCTTATCTAAAAGTTGGCCATTTGAACCCACCTAGCAGTACCTTGAAAGAGAGGCCTGGCGATCCATTTCTGTTAAGATTACAGCCAAGAAAACCCTATGGAGCAGTTCTACTCTGTAACATGGGGGTCGCCATGAGTCGGAATTGACTCAACAGCAATGGGTTGTTTTTTTATTTTGTCCCACATTAGGACTTTTGTACACACTGTTCTCTCTGCCTGGAACGTTCATCCTCCATTTTTTTACCCCATAAACTCCTAGCTGCCTTTCAGGTCTCACCAAACCAAAAAACTAAACCCACTGCTGTCGAATCGATTCTGACTGTGTCCTGGAGGACAGAATAGAACTGTCCCATAGAGTTTCCAAGGCTGTAAATCTTTACAGAAGTAGACTGCCACATCTTTCTCTTCAGGTCTCAATTTTTTTTAAATTTTCAAATAGATAGTACATGTACATGGAACAAAATTTAAAGTATACAAGAGCATAAAGTAAAAAGTAAGTCTCTCTCACCTGCCTTCTAGCTACTTCTCCCTTACTCCTTCCCTGGGGATAACCACTATTACTATTTTCTTCTGAATTCTGGTCTCAGTTTAAATGTCATTTTTTTCAGAGAGGCCTTCTCTGATTAAAAAACAAAAAACCAAACCGTTGCTGTTGAGTCGATTCCAACTCATAGCAACCCTATAGGACAGAGTAGAACTGCCCCATATGGTTTCCAAGGAGCGCTTGGTGGATTTGAACTGCTGACCTTTTGGTTAGCAGCCAGAACTCTTAACCACTGAGCCACCAGGGTTTCTAATATCATAAGTACTCAATAATTAAGCCCTTCCTAAGCCTTGCTTGTTTCTCTAAGCTCATCTCTTGCCCTCCTCCTCATGCTCTGCCTTGAAATTCTCTCTGGCTCTTCCACTCCCTATTTGGTGTTTCCTTCTGGCTAACTCCTTGTCATTCTTCAAGTTTTACTTAAAAACCACCTGCTCTAAGAAACCTTCCTTGAATTCTCAAGTCCAGGCTAAGTGCACCACCCATGTGTGGCCCTTATCATAGCCCTTATCACCCTACGTTGTTATTACTGTTTGTCTCCCCACTCGGTGGTGGATACTGTGTTGCAGGGGCTTTGTCTTTGTTCATTGTTGTAGCCCAGGTTTCTAGGGCAGTGCTTGGTAGGAATCAGGCCTGTCATGGATATTAGGCTGGTTGTCCACTGTACAACTCTGGGGTGTGCTATTCACATCATTGTGAGGTTACAGTTATCACTGGCTACTCTGGTGTGTAATTAATATTTATTGAAAGAATGAACATACTTTGGAGGGTTCAGTGGTTTTTAGAAGATCGTATTTTGAGGTCATAGCAAAATCTTGTTGAATGAGATTCCTTTGCAAGGCTCTGGTCTGAGGATCATTGTGGGTACATCAAGGGGATTTGGACATCAGCTCCTTGAGTGAGGTCCCAGATTGCAGAGTCTGGAGGCTGAAGGCCAAAAGGTTGAAGGGCTTAGATTCAGAGAGATGGAATTGGGGCAACAGCAAGAGGACACCTCAGTTATATTCAGTGCTCTTTGGGAACCTCTGGCCAAAAATACCTCCCTCTTCCTCACATGGTAAACTCCTGCTCTTTCAAGAACGCAGCTGTTACCTTTTCTGAACCTATTTGCCTGCATTCACTCCACCCTTACCTCTCCCTAAACCTACCCGTACACAGGGCATAATTAGTTCTTTCCTTTGGCTGCCGACAACATTGCTCACAACTCCATCAAAGCACTTCATACACCGTAAGGTAATTAACTCCTTTCCCATCACTATCCCTAGTATACCTTGAGTGTCTCAAGGACAAGTAGCATGTATTATTCATCTTTGTAACCACCCCAGTGTTCATACAGTTGTTGGCATGTAATAGTAAATGTGGAGTAACAGATATCATGGAAGGAATATCCCTGCATTGTCTTGATGAAATAGTGTGGACTGTAAATGCAGGGAAGTTCTCGGAAGCCAGGACTGTCTCTGTCCAGTCTCAGAGAAGAGCTGAAGAGCTGCTTGGAAACCCACTTTGGAAAAGAAGGGCCTAAGAAATCTTTCACCTGATGTCACTTAGACTTCTCTACACATTTTGTGTTTATCCCTCTACAGAGTGGTCATCCTGGGAAAACAAGGGTAGCACAACGGGAGCCAGGAGGAAAGGGAGCGGAACCTAGAACTAGTTCTCAAGAAAGTGAAGAGCAAGCAAGAGAGACAGACACACAGGCAGACGAAGCAGAGGTGTGTAGGGCTAGTTTCTTATCCAGAGATAAGGAACTAAGATCACAGCTAGAAAACATCAGGTCTAGTTATATTTTGCATTCCAGAAATTCCAGTATTATAACCTAATGCTTATGGACACAAGGCATTCAGTTAGATAGACTTGGGTTTAATTTGCAGCTCTGCCTCTTACTTGCTGGATGACCTTAGTCAATTCACCACACTTTTTTTGCTGCAGGTTTTGAATTTGTGATGAGGATAATAACTATGAGGATTAAAGGAGAAGTTATCTATATCTATATGTATGTATATATATATATATATTTGTATATAAAGCATTTAACACAGACATATAGTAAGCCTGTAGCAAATAATAGCTGTGTTACCATTATGTAGCTTAAAAGTTTGTTTTAAATTTTATTTTGTAAAAGTAATACATGAACATGGTAAAAGTTCAAGAAGTACAATTGATATAAAGTCTCCTTCCCTCTCTGATTGCCAATTTCCCAGTTTCCCTCCCAGGAGATGACCACTGTAACTAGTCTCTTACATATCCTTTGAGAGATCTCTGAATATATCATGTTGCAGAAGTAGACACTGAGATGGAATTTGGAGTGTAAGGTGTTTATGAAGGATTAACTCCTGTGAAAGGAAGCGGGGAGGATGCAGGATTGAGCAGAGGGAGAAGTTAAATTCAGACACAGGCCCAACAAAGCCTTGGTCAAAGTGACAGGGAGCTTTGGAGCGAATATCATCTGTCAGAGTTTTCCCACGTTGAGCCAAAATGGCCAGGTCTTCACATCCCTACCTTGCTTAGTTAGTGGATATGGGCTACCCCTGGGAGGGGTGTGACCTGTGCTAATGAGGCTCTCAGCAGCTGAGGCCGACTCTGAAGGAGCTGTCTGCTAATGGCACTACTCACAGCTGGCAGCAAGTCCTTCAGTGAAGGGGGATCTGGGCAGACTTGGAAGCTCTATGGGACAGCTCTACTCTGTCCTATAGGGTCGCTGTGAGTCGGAATCGACTCGAGCAATGGGTTTGGGTTTTTTTTGGTTTTATACACATGCACCCTTCTGTACCTTAGATTTTTGTTTTTGTTGTTGTTCACTTAAGATATGTTGGAGATTGTTCCATATCAGCACAAATAGATCAAATGAGATGGTTTTTAAAACTTTCTGGAACTCTGTGATTTTCTTCTTTGCTGGTTATTTTTGCCCCGTTTCTTTCTCTCTACAATCCCCATTAGAAAACTTCAGAAAGGCCGTTATCTGTTGAGGAACAAGAGGAGAGGGGGAGCACTCTGCAAATATAAAATATTTTATTCTCCCACCCACCAGTGGCTCTGGCGGGAGAGAATTTCTCACAGAAGGATGGGTGGTGGGAACTGGCTATATCCCAGGGACCCAAAGGAGGAAAAAAAAAGAGAAACTGAGAATCAGTCCAGGATCAAGAAATATCTATCTTTTTTAAACCAACAAGAAGCTATTCCCAAATGTCCCCCGTCTGCAGTGAAGAATGCCTTCTCACGTACGATCTGCCTGTCCCTGGAGGAGCTTAGAAACAGTCTTAATTTTCTCTTTTTTAGGTGGTTTTCTATTGAATACCAGTCGACACTACAAAACAAAGCCCACCCATGGCATTGGAAGATACAAGCACCTAATTATAGCACAAGAGGTAAGAGGAGTGATGCCTTTAGAAAAGGATAGTGTGCAGCTTTTGCAAAGACCCGAAAATCAGATATGCATTGGTTGGTTAGAAAGGATAGGAATTTCTTCTCAGTCCTCTCTGGTTATTTAGTGTGGAGGTTATCGAGACTGGAGATATTTCTACCAGCTTCCAATCTTGTCCCTAGGCCAGGTTATCACAGTGAAAAACAAATAGGTTGATTTTACTGTTTGTGGTCATTTTTAATATTGTCATGGATTGAATTGTGTCCCCCAAAAATATCTTATCAACGTGGCTGGGTCACGATTCCCAGTATTGTATGATTGTGTACCATTTTGTAATCTGATGTGATTTCCTTATGTGTTGTAAACTCTATCACTATGATGTAATAAGATAGACTGGCGGCAGTTATACTGATGCGGTCTATAAGATTAGATAGTGTCTTAAGCCAATCTCTTTTGAGATATAAAAGAGAGAAGCGAGCAGAGACACATGGGGACCTCATACCACCAGAAAAGCAGAGTGCATCCTTTGGACCTGAGGTCCTGCTCTGAGATGCTCCTGGACCAGGGGAGGACTGGTGACGGGGACTTTCCTCCAGGGCCAGTGGAGGGGGCCTTTCTCTGGAGCTGATGCCCTGGGTTTGGACTTGCAGCCTGCTAGACTGTGAGAGAATGAATTTCTCTTTGTTGAGGCCATCCACTTCTGGTATTTCTGTTGTAGCAGCATTAGGTGACTAAGACAAATCTTCTTACTACCTAGTGCAGTATGGACTCAGAGTGGAAATACAAACTCAGTTGAGCTGAATGAATGGTTTGTGGCTAGTAGAGGGAAATTGACATATACATATGATGTACATATGATCTTTAAGTTTTTTAACTACACGAATTGTTTTTGAACGATATTCATCTGCTATGAAGATATGATTAGTTTTTTAATATTTCTTCCCTCCTCACTCCTCAGACCTTCCAGTTTCATTGGTTATAATGCTTTGTAGACTTTGTCCAAGTTTATAACATGTATACTCTATAATGCAATCAAATTTTCACTTTGAGCTTTAGACTGTGTTTAGTTTGGATTCATCATTTGCCAGCATCCTTTATGTATTTATTTTATTGTGTTTTAGGTGAAAGTTTACAGCTCAAGTTAATTTCTCATACAAAAATTTATACACATATTGTTATGTGACACTGGTTGAAATTCCTATAATGTGACAACATGCTCCCCCTTTCCACCCCAGGTTTCCTGTGTCCATCCAACCAGCTCCTATCTCATCCTCCCTCCGGATAGGAGCTGCCCATTTGGTCTCATGTATTTGCTTGAATTAAAAAGCACACTCTTCATGAGGTTTTTGTTTTTTGTTTTTAATTGTACTTTAGATGCAGGTTTACAGAACAAATAGTTTCTCATTAAACAGTTAGTACACATATTGTTTTATGACATTGGTTAACAACCCCAAGTCATGTCAACACTCTCCCTTCTCGACCTTGGAGAACCTTTTTTTTTTTTGGTGAAAATATACATAGCCAAAGATATACCATTTCAAAAATTTCTACATGTACAATTCAGTGACATTGATTACATTCTTCCAGTTGCACTGCTATTCTCGCTATCCTTTTCCAAGTTATTCCATCACCCTTATCTTCAACTCACTGCCCCCTAGGCTTCCCATCAAACTTTTTGAGTTGCTATTGTTGATTTGATCTCACATAGATAATTCTTTTTTCTTTTTTTGTACCTTAGATGAAGGTTTACAGAACAAATAGTTTCTCATTAAACAGTTAGTACACATATTGCCCTATGACAATGGTTAATAACCCCATGACATGTCAACACTGTCCCTTCTCAACCTTGGGTTCCCTATC